AGTCAAGTTTACAAAGGTAAGTATTTAATAACACCATTGTTGTAAAGAAAAAACGAAGCAAAAGAAACAAGGTTTATACACCGATAAGACTTTGATGACTATGAGGAGGCCAATGTGGGGCAGAAACGGGGAGAACAGGATTGTTGAGTGGGGTGGGAGGAGGGGGTGTGGGGGGAGAAAAAGAGCAACATCTATGGAGGGTTTAATAGGATATTGTTGTTGATTTCATTTCTTGAGATGGGCTCTGTCAATAACTATAGTATGTGTGACAGTTTTCTGTGCCAACATGGCACCCATAAGAAGATATGGGTGAAGTCTAGCCTGTCAATCAGGTCACAGCTTGATGGTGCCTCCCTGTGGGTGTGGTCTTTTCATAAAGAGGATCTAGGGAACCTCCTCTCTTTCTCCCTTCACCTTCCTGTTTATGCCATGTGGAGACTTGCACAAGCTCCGGAGATGCATCTACTGCCACTGGATCTATACTCTGCACCCACTGGCCTGTGACCTTCCTGCATCTTGTATCATTGCATGTAGCTGCGTGATCTGAAGCAGGACTTATGCACTATCATTGCATGTAGCTGCGTGATCTGAAGCAGGACTTATGCACTATCAGACTTATGGGCTTGATCAGGACGGGGCTGGGATGTTTATTTCATGTACAATTATTCCTTGATATAAAGCTCTATCTTATACACATGGAGGAGTGTCACCAGATTTGTTTCTCTAGTCAACCCAGCCTAACACACTAAGTTTCTTTAAAAACCAAATAAACAAATGGGACTAACACTACCTCATGTGAATTTCTAAGAGAGTGTTCTAGTTAATGGAATCAAAAGGAAACTAGAGAAAACAACAACAACAACAACAACATAGTTTCAGAAATACACATAATTAATACCAGGTGAGACTGCATTTAGTCAAGGTTTAAAAGCACTGAAAAGTTGGTCAAAGATTTGAACCAGAAAACAACAACAAACTGAAAGTAAAAGGCTGTAATAATGAAAACTGAAAGAAAAAAAAAGGGATTCAATGCACATCAGAACTAAGTAGTGATGAAGCCACTGGAAAACAACTCCATAATAAGTCGGACTCCTGCAGCTCATCAGGCCTTTCTTCTGAGGTGCCTCTGGGTAGACTAGAACTATTTTGTTAGCCACTGAACATATTCGTTGTTTGTACCACACATCAAGGGTAGTCAAATCTGTACTAATAGTTCAGAAATAAATATAAGCCCACCTCCATTGAGTCAATTCTGACTCACAGCGAGCCTATGTCGGGGTTCTGAGACCATAAAGGAGCAGAGCCTCATCTTTCTCCTGTGGAGCAGCTGGTGGTTTTGAACCACAAGCCTTCATTTACCTGATTGTGGCATCAAGACTCCTTAGACTTAAATACAGCTGACAAAACATTTTAGGTGGGAATAACACTATAAAATAGCCCACAACCCCAGAGGGGCCAACATAGCCATCACATGCAGACTCCCTGGCCTGTGATGGCGTGCGTGTGCTTGCTCCTCCGTGTGAAAAAACAAGGTTGGGAGCAGGGAAGGGTGCTATAAGGCTGACCTCTGGGTTGATCTTTGCCAAACTCACAATTTATATTTTAAATGAGCATGTGATTTTAAAATGCTAATGATAGTCCTATAAGAAATTCAGTGTGATATGACTCAAGATGAGATCTCTGGCAAGTCATGGACAGCCATTCTCAAGAAAGCAATATGCCACTGCAATTAAGGGATGCACTTTTGACTTAGAGCATATCCTTTTGTTAGGCTGGTATCTCCAAAGATGAAAAGAATTAGAGTGCCCACATCCCCATGGCTAAGGAACAGTGCCAAGAAAGGACCAAACCTGCATTGCTGCTCTTGTTGGGGACCTTTGAGTGATCTTGATGGCCTATCACAGAGTAGAACTACTCTGAATTTTCCTTAGCTGCAATCTTTACAGAAGCAGATCCCCAGGCCTTCCCCCTGCCACCCTCCTTTTTATCTTTCTTTTCTTTTT